TAAGACAGTTGAAATAAAGTAATTCGTACCATGGTATTTCATCTACCACCTTCTTGCTACTGAAAATCTCAGCAGCTCTTGCGCGCTTGTTTGTGGGAATTGGCTCACCAGCTGGTGTGTAAGCATCACAAATTACCTTTTTGAAACACATAAGAAAATGTTAACCACACTATATAATTAGTAAGAAATTTTTTTATCGCGTGCCTTCGATAATACTCACCAAGATATGTTACCTCCTCGGAAAGGGTCCTTAAAGATTGCTTGAGGGCTGGATGAAGTTTTCAGTCAAAATGGTGTTTTGATGATAACAAGCAATAAATAAAGTTTCTGATTTCTTTTAGAGGGGCTTACTATAAAATAACTTCACTATCGTCTCCGGGTGCTTGTCCGGTACTTGATCCATCGTAGTTCCACTTGGGAAGCTCAGAGGGATGTTCAACTGGCTTTGATATTGTCTGCATATCATAATAAGGCCCAAAGAAACATAAGAAAAAAATGATATCCCGGATTGAAACTTATGCAATTTTAGCTCTGATATTTTTCTTACCCTGGACTTGCTACGCATATCGATTCCACTGCCTCCTATCCTGTTTCAGTGCAGAAACAGCAGTGATTGAGGTACAAGGAAAACTGCCATCTTAAATCTATATTTGAACATTGATTTCATATTGAAACATAGATCAAATGTGTTAGAGAGATGATGTACCAAATATACTCAGCAATGATCTTGTCAGTGTATGGAGAGACATCCATGTTCAGTAGCTTCTCTAGCCTGTTGACGGTGCTGTTCTCAGACAGGGCAAGCACTCTAAATTTGCAAGAGTTTTTAGATGCTCCTTTCCTGTTATGTTTCAATACCAGTGGACTCCACATTTTCGTCGCGTCGGGACTTCTGAAGGTCGAGGTCTTTGGTAGACTCATTTTCCATTGAGTCGAAGGTGCTAAAATCTGTGCCATTTCCCCCCTTCTCCCAACTGAGAGAAATCAAACAAGGATAACAATCAACATAAACATCGACACATCCAACCGAGAAAAAAAATAGAATCAAAGTTTTAATACAGATTATGCAAGAATAGAAGGCCCTATTCTTTCCAGTACAAGGTTTATACTAACTTACCACCAACATGGTATACATATATTAAGGTTTATACAAAATCACAAAGGATAAAATGAACGGATCTCGGGATTAAACCGATCGGTTTATGTAGTCACTATTAAAAGGTGGCATTCAACAAGTGTATAGTTCAAACCATCTTCAACATATTCTCTTATTCCTAGATCCTTATACCCAAAAAAAGAAATGAAATGAACAATGGTAAGTACATAAAAGACCATTTTCTTTTCCTGTTCAACTCATGGTCAGATTAAATCTTGGACCACAAACATTATCTTTCTTAAACTTTTGGAATCCAACAGGATGTCTTAGTTCTTACAAATACAGCATTGTTAAGAAAAAAAGTATTAGAAAACTAGAAATTAAAGAATTTTATACACTAATCTTCAGCTAAGTGGACCATGTGCAAAGCCTTAATGGATAGGGACTAGACCTAGTGATATTTGCTCTCTCCTTGATGAGGGAGCTGCTGGTCCAAAGCTCCAAACTCCAACCACTGATCCTTTATCAGTAGCAAAACTTTGGCAAAAACTAGTGGGGGACCAGCCAAATAACTCTCATTTCAATGAACAAAAGGGTCCCAAGGGAAAACACTTTTGTTCAGTTGATTCAAGATCCAACTATTCAGGGTTCAAATTAAACACAAGAGAAACAAAGAATCTAAAAGAGATCTAAAAGTCAACTTACAATGCCACTTTGATAAACACCATCTCACATTATATGGCTCATATACAAGTGAAAAAGGTAGTGATTACAGGCTTACAGCATGATCATGTTGCCATAAAAGGTGCATAATGTGAAGCACAAAGATCTCAAGCCATCAAGAGTAAAAAAAAAAGAGCCAAATAATGCTGAGATGAAGAGAGAAGGAACTGACCTGGGAAGTGCCTGAAAATGGTCTGACAAGGAACCAGAAAAGTGTGTGTTGCTGGGATTGGCTGTACAAGGAGAAGAAAAGAAGACAATAAGAGAGAGAGAGAGAGTGGAACTTAATTTATAAGTGTAAAATATAAGTTTAAACAAACAAGAGGTTGTTGATGGAGAAGTTGTCTTTGGCTTTTGATAAGCAGATAGGGATATGCTATGAGTGGAGGAAATTATTTCCTGCTCTTTGGTGCCACCAAGGGGAGCTTTGGCTATACATCTACATTTTTTTAAGATAAAAATATGCAGAGCTGATCTTATTCACGTATTAAAAAAATAATATTTTTTCAAAATAAAAACTATGGGTAAAAGTACCTAATTAATAAGTTGACAGCTATCTTATAATGTGGGCAATGTTTTATACAAGAGGGTTAGGTTTTTTTATAAACTATGTATTTAGTGGACTAATTATTTTTATAGTTTTATTTTATTCAGTTAAATATATTTTTCAAAATTTATATTGATATTATATTTTAGTTTTATTTTACTAATTCTTTGTTAAAAATAATAAAATTAGTGGTAAATTCTTTTATTTTTTCAACGATGATGTGATATTATCTTATAGTGACACATCAATATCATCATTAATTTATTAATGGCGAGTGACTTAAATAAAACCAAAATTTAAAGTTATTTATGATTTAAAAAAAAAATTAACTGACCAAAATGAAACAATATACATAGTTGGGTGACTAAATATTTATAAGCACATTTAGTCGGTTTGCAAGCTACTCAACTTTGTTCCTTTATATTCCTTAGGTCATATGTTATAGGCCCAGTAAGGACACTCCCCTTCCTTCCTCTAGAGTCTCTTTTCTCCGTCCCTCTAGATAGGATTAGGATTAAATTTAAGATTCATAAAAAAATAAAATATAGGGTAAACTACTTATATAATATCTAAATGATCACTTTTGTTCTATTTTATTAAATTAACTATTTTTTTTAAAAGCGTACATAACGTTAAATTTTAATTTCATTTTAGTCAACATTGTTAAGAAAATTAACAAAACTGCTGACATTGTATTCTTTAATTTTTTTTTCTAATGATGATATGACATTATCTTATGGTGACATGTCAGTATAACAGTTAATTTTTTTAACGATGAGTGATTAAAATGAAACCAAAACATAACGTTAGGTATGATTTTGAAAAATAAATAGTTGAGTGACCATAACAGAATAAAATATTAGTTAGGTACTAAATATATAATTTACCCTAAAATATACTTCGATTCAACGCATAAACACTTCTTCTAGTATTGGTCTTGGTCATGAAGAATTAATGGATTGCATTGTTCGGCCATCTTCGGGCATTGGACTATTTGGATGAGATAATGAAGGCTTCCTTAACCCCAAACAAACCAAATACAAAAACAGATGAAACTAAGGGTAAATTACGTATTTAGTATATAAATTATAAGTTTTGATCTGTTTTAATATCTAAACTTTTAATTTTTTTTTTAAAATCATACCTAATGTTTAATTACTAGTGAGTTCATAAATTCCCATAGACTTATATATAGAACTTAAGCTTCAGAATCGTCATTTTCTCTAGTGCAAGCAAGCTGGATGGTGATAAGTATCGAGAAATAGAAGGTTATTTTCATTGGGGTGAATTATTTAATATGAACTTCGCTAGAGCAATGGTTTTATTGTATTTCAATTTGGTTTAGGTATTGAGTGTGAAATTTGGATTTCTGTTGGCATATCATAAATCCCAGGGTTTATTAAATGATTAACTTATTTTACAATTAGAAGCACAAATTATTGTGATTAGGAGCAGAACATAATGATCCGACTTCCTTCAAGCTGTTGTGTCTTAGGAACCTATAATTGTGTTCATCATGAGCATATTTTTTGGATGGTATGGCAAGGTTCACAGGAAGAGGAAGCGGAAGCTATCTTGGTTCTTTCTGTTAGTTGAGTAATTGTGGTGCCATACAGGATGGCTTATACAGGAGTGTACATCGGGATTCCTCTCCTAACTAAGGCGCTGCTCCTGTACATTACTCTTCCTATCCTCGGTTAAGTGTCTTCTTTTGCTTCCTTTCTAATTGCCTCTTCCTTTTGCCTTACGTATTGAGCTAGTGGAATAATATAAGTGTAGTTTCAGTTGACATGGATTTGATAATCATATACACTAAAATGCTTTTACGAAATTTCTGAGCTGTCTGCAGAAGTGCTTCTGCTAGACGCATTGAGGATCCAGCTTTTGGATCAGTAAATCCAGCTGCTTACTTGTGACATCAGGCATTGGGTGTCCCAAGTGTTAGATATCTCCATGTTAATACCTATTTTAATTTCTAAATGTTGCTTAATGTGCATGGCAGTGGATAAAATGTAATGAAACATATCTTAGTAACTATGAGACTTGATACAGATGACATCATGGCTTCATTTTACTTCGGTGAACATGGAGTTGGAATGGAGTTGGGGAAATTGAGGCCTTAGTTTCTGCTAGAGGTATTATTGTTAGATGGATTCCTAGGAGCTGCAATTAGGATGCTGACAATTTAGCTAAGGAGGGGATTGGTTGATGTTTAGAGATTTATGGTTGGTTTGGTTTGTATTTTATTTCGGGAAGTTTATTATGTAAGCTGTAATCTTATGTAATTATGGTTTATCAATAAGATTAGGTACTCTTTTCCTCCTTCCACTAGTTGCCTCTTCCACAAGAGCCAACTAAGAGGAAGGTTTTTAATGAGACCTCCTATTTCTATCAAAAAAAAAAAAAATAGCAGGTCCATGCTATGAGATTCTTGGTCCTGCTTTGCTCTTTCCTTGTCAAGAACCAATATTTTAACCCCTCTTTTTCTTTTCCTTTTGATTGAGCAATTTAACTAGCATTCTCTGTTTTAAATTTTCCTAGGCATAACTAAAACTTGCTGAATCTCGTGAGGATTCCCAAGGTGACTTGGCAAGTGATCTTGAATATATATATATATAAAGAGAGAGATTCTTATCGCCATGATTGGATATTTGCAGGCATTGCTCCATTTTATTTACTGGGATACCTTACCAGACATGGAAGAGCTAGTGGGTTCAACTTCTAAATGGGCTTCTACGCTTGTTGCTCAACATCTGCTTGCCGCTGCTGACTGTTACGCGCTTGTGAGAATGAGATTGCTCTGTGAGGATAAGCTTTGTGAGGGTGTTGCAATAAACACAGTTGCAACTACATTAGCTTTGGCAGAACAGCACAACGGTTTGCATTTGAAAGCTGTATGCTTAAAATTCGTTGCATCGTCGGAAAATTTAAAAGGTAAGGACTGAAAACCAATTCTATTTTAGATTCACCAGCGTAGGCTTAGAGAATGTCTAAATTTTTCGTCTTCCTACTTTTCCAGTCTCTTTTCATCCTGTTGAGAAATAAAATGAGTAACGAGTAATTTTCCTATAACCAGATTAGTGAGAATGTGAAATAAAAGAGGAAAAATAATACCCGAAATTGATAACGGAGTTCAGCCAATTTGCTTACGTCTCCGGACTGCTGCAGATCTTTTACTAAGAGAGAAAATTTACAGGTGTTTACAAAACACACTTGAGAGAGAATTAGAAGATTTTGGGGTGATTTTGAAGCTAAATGGGTTAGGGTATTTATAGTTGAAGCTTAGAGACTAATCTTGTAAATACTCTAAAAATTACAATGACTAAAGTTGCAATATTCTCATTTCCATTTCAACAATAGTTGCACCACTTTCGGTGCAGCACACCCTTTTTGAATTTGTTTGTGCATTAGGCGGTGCCCCCTTGACTTTACAATCTCCCACTTGAAGACTGATTTTAATCTCTCTTCACACCTCGATCGATGCAGCAGCATTTCTGGTCTTGTTACTCTAGCATGCCAACTGAAGCTGAACACAACTTCAGTTTGTTTGTGGTCACCGTCTTTGTCAACATGTCTGCCGGATTTTGAGCTCCACTAATCTTTTCAAGTTTCAAAATCCCATCTTACAGAAGAGACCGAATAAAATGATACCGTAATTGTATGTGCTTCGTCATGGAATGAAAAGACGGATTCTTTACTAGATGGATAACACTTTGATTGTCGCAATACATGACATTGTTTTCTTATTTCTTGCCTAACTCTTCTAAGAAACTTTGGAGCCAAACCATCTCCTTACTGGCTTCCATAACAGAGACATATTCTGCTTCAGTTGTGGAGAGAGCAACTATCTTCTGTAGTTGAGAAACCCAACTCACTGCAGTACCTCCTAGAGTATAGACATACCATGTAGTACTCCTTCTGATGTCAACGTTTCCGGCTAAGTCAGCATCCACATAGCCTATTAGTATCGTATCTCCACCTTTGAAACAAAGTGTTTTGTTTGTAGTATCTCGCAGATATCTGATGATCCATTTGACTGCTTCCTAATATACCTTGCCCAGATTATTCATGTACCTGCTAACAACTCCCACTGCATGAGCAATATCTGGTCTGGTATAAACCATGACATACATCAGACTTCCAATTGCTGAGGCGTACAACACCTTCACCATGTGTACACGTTCTTCCTCCGTCTTTGGTGACTGTTCTTTGGAGAGTCTGAAATGAACACCTAAAGGTGTACTTACTGGTTTAGCATCTTGCATGTTGAACCTGGAGAGTACTTTGTTGATGTACTCAGCCTGTGATAACATCAAAGTCCCCGACTTTGTATCTCTCTTGATCCTCATCCCAAGAATCTGATTTGCAACGCCCAGATCTTTCATAGAAAACTGCTTCGACAATTTTTTCTTCAAGTTTATAATATCTTGCATGTTTGAGCCTGCAACGAGAATGTCATCAACGTACAATAATAAAATAATGAAGTTGTTGTCGAACCTCTTGATGTAGCAACAATGATATGTTTGGCATCTGGTAAAACCACTGCTACTCATGAAGCTATCGAACTTCTTGTACCACTGTCTAGGAGCTTGTTTTAAACCATACAAACTCTTCTTCAACCTGCATACCAGGTTTTTCTTGTCTGCCTCTATGAAGCCTTATGGCTGCCTCATATAGATTTCTTCCTCCAAATCACCATGAATAAAAGTTGTCTTTACATCTAACTGCTCAAGATGTAAATTCTCTGCACCTATAATTTTCAACACCAGTCTTATTGTAGACAGTTTTACGACTAGAGAGAAAATTTCATTGTAGTCAATACCTTCTTTTTGCTGAAAACCTTTGACAACCAATCTTGCTTTGTAGCGTTTGCTCCCATCGTGCTCTACTTTGATCATGTAAATCCACTTGTTGTGGAGCGCTTTCTTGCCTGGTGGTAATTCAACTAATTCCCACTTCTGATTTGACATAAGCGAATCCATCTCATCTTTCATGGAAGACTCACACTTGACTGAATCCTCCACTTGCATTGCTTCATCATAGCACTCTGGTTCACCATTGTCAGAAGCAACAAGTAGTGCAAAGAAGGAGATTACCGTTGGGTTGGTTTAGGAATTCTGGAGGAGCGTCTCAGTTTTGGTGTGCTTGGTTCTTCTTGAACTGCTTCAGGATTGATCTGAATATCATTTCCAGAAATCTCCTCGAACTCAGCAAATTCCTTTGTTTCAGCTTCGACCTTTGAGCTACTTGATTCTACGGTTGACCTGTCTTTGTACATCACATTCTCATTGAAAATGACATCGCTGCTTCTGATGATCTTTCGATTTTCATAGTCCTAAAACCGGTAACCGAATTCATTACCGCCATAACCAACAAAGGCACATTTGTTGGACTTAGTATCAAGTTTACTTTTTTCAGCAGAGTCTATGTGTACATAAGAAATACAACCAAACACTCTTAAGTGTGAAAGGTTTATTTCTTTCTTGCTCTAAACTTCCTCTGGTATTCTGTCATCCAAAGGAACTGAGGGTCCACGGTTGATCAGGTAAGCTGCAATGTTGATAGCTTCAGCCCATAGAAATTGGGCAATCCGACATGTATCCTCATGCTTCTGGCACGTCCATTCAGAGTTCTGTTCATGCGCTCTGCTACGCCATTCTACTGCGGAGTCATGGGAACTGTTGTCTCTATCTTAATCCTATTGTTTGCTCAGAAATCTCTGAATCTTCTATTTTGTACTCTCCTCCATTATCAGACCTCAACCGCTTGACTTTCAAACCAGTCTCATTTTCCACCATGGCTTTCCATTTTCTGAAGGTATCAAAGACTTCTAATTTCATCTTCAGAAAATAAACCCACACCTTCCTTGTTGAATCATCGATGAAAGTGACATAAATAATGAGCCTGCAAGAGATTGAACTGGAGATGGTCCCCATACATCAGTATGAACCAACTCCAACTTTTCTGCCTAGGGTGTCTTACCAATCTTTGCAAAACTGACTTTCTTTTGTTTGCCAAAGATGTAATCTTCACATAGTTTGACATCTACATTCTTTAGATCCGATAGCTTCCCTTTTGACAAAAGTGTCTTCATCTCTTTCTCGCTCATATGGCCAAGCCTTTGGTGTCATAGGTTTGATTTTCCATCAGCATCTGCTGCAACAATGATATTCTCTAAATTTGATGTTACATAGAGAGTATCAATCTTCTTACCACGAGTAATGACGAGTGCTCCTTTGGTAATCTTCCATTCACAACCTAAAAAAGTTGTACTATAACCTTCTCCATCAAGATGTCCTATAAAAATCAAATTTCTTTTGAGGCCTGGAATATGTCTAACTCCTTTCAGCGTCCAGGTGGTTTGGTTTGGCAGCTTTAATCGGATGTCTCATTTTCCGACGATCTTCAAGGTTTCATCATCTGCTAGATGAACCTTCCCAAAGTCACCACTGACATAGTTCTCCATGATTTCTTGTCATGGGGTGGAGTGGAAAGATGCCCCTGAATCCAAGATTCATGATTCAATCGGACTGTTAACGCTTAAAATCATGGCATCATCTGTCTCCTCTGTCACGTTGGCAGATTCCTGTGCGCCGGTATCTTTCTTCGGTGCTCGACAATCTGTTTTAAAGTGGCCATTCTTGCCACAATTATAACAGGTAAAATCTTTCTTTTCTGTTCTTGATTTGCCCCTTCTGGATTTCGATCTGCCACGATTTGAATTTCTTTCTGAAGTTCTCCCTCTAGACTCCGTGTGCAAGGTTGATGAGCTTGATGTTTCTCCCGATTCTCTCCGTCGAATTTCTTCGCTCAATACCAGATCCCGAACATCGTCGAATTTTAATTTGATGTTTCCCGACGAGCTGCTGACTGCTGTAACAGTAGTATTCCAACTGTCTGGTAGAGATGATAAGAGAATTAAAGCTCGAACTTCATCATCGAATTCAATTTCCACGGAACTCAATTGGGTTGTGATTGTGTTGAGTTCATTTAGGTGTTGAGCCACCGATGCCCCTTCCGCCATCTGCAAATTGAATAATTGCCTCATCAAATGAACTTTGTTTGAGGCCGATGACTTCTCATACATACTGAAGAGAGCCGCCATAAGACCCGCCGTGGTCTTTTCCTTTGCTATGTTGAAAGCAACATTGCGGGATAACGTTAGTCGGATAACTCTGAGGGCTTGTCTGTCGAGAAGAGCTCAGTCTTCATTCTTCATGCCCTCTGGTTGTTTTCCTGAGAGAGGTTGATATAGATTTTTCTGGTACAGAAAATCTTCAATCTGCATCTTTCAAAAGCCAAAGTCCGCACCATCGAACTTTTCAATTTTCACCTTACCTTCGTCTGCAGCCATCGCTTCCACTCGAATATGGCTTCGTTTGGATCGTTTCTGACAATTCTTACGAACCACCGTGTATTAGAACACCTCCATCGACAAATTCGTATCGCTGATAATTTTTTTACTATTCACATAATTCACTATTCACGTGAATAGTAATGAATAGTAACCTCGCAAAAATTGACAAAATTCACAACTAAAAGCTCTGATTATCAGTTGTTGGGAAATAAAACGAGTAACGAGTAATTTCCCTATAACTAGATTAGTGAGAGTGCGAAATAAAACCGGAAAAATAATACCCGAAATTGATAACAGAATTCAGCTAATTTGCTTATGTCTCCGGACTGCTGCAGATATTTTACTAAGAGAGAAAACTTACAGGTGTTTACAAAACACACTTGAGAGAGAACTAGAAGATTTTGGGATGGTTTTGAAGTTAAATGGGTTAGGGTATTTATAGTTGAAGCATAAAGACTAATCTTGTAAATACCCTAAAAATTACAATAACTAAAATTATAATATTCCTATTTCCATTTCAACAATAACTGCACCACTTTCAGTGCAGCACACCCTTTTTGAATTTGTTTGTGCATTAGGCGATGCCCCCTTACTTTACACATCCTTTCTCTTTGCAATAAAGCAAATGCAAGATGAGAATTCATTGTTACTGATAGAGTTTCTCTCTAATGAGGAACCCCTTTTAATTTATATCTTATACCTTTGTAAGATATGTGTAAAATGACAAAAATCGTTGTTGCATTGGTTTCAGCTGTGATGCAAACATATGGATTCGAGTATCTGAAGGAAAGCTGCCCAGGTGTTCTTACCGAACTGCTGCAATATGTTGCGAGAATCGGGGAGCATTCTGTTATTACTTGTGGATATCGAAGAAGAAAAGAAGCACCACCGTTGGATGGTTCCGATGTTAATGGCCGACGGGTCAAACCAAGACTACAATGATTTAGCGAATAACATGTAACTCATCTTTTGATTAGTAAGAAAAACTAATAAAAGAGAGTAAGATAGCATTAGACATTCTTTGCACTTGTACTAACATTGGTGAATATTTGAAAATTCATATTTAATCAGTTGGCGAAATTGGCTTCAGGCTTTCCCCTGGCTGAAATTTTTCTTTGATTTGTGGTTGTTAGCTGCTTTTCCTGGTTGTAGTGCATGGCTAGATTGTTTTTTGTGCTGATAGGGAACTGTTTACAAGGTTTCGTTGAATTTTATAGTAGTTATTGACTGTTTTGTTCCACTGCTTACTGCTTAGGCGCACTTTTTTTCCTTCGTTTAGGATTAGAGAATTTTTTTTAACGAGACAAGCAATGTGATATTTCCTTTCATGAATAATAAAGTATTATTTAAAAAAAACGTTAATATAACACATTAGTATTACCGTTAAATTTTTACAAATAAGCAAAAATAAAATTAAAACTGAACTTTAAGAAAACGTAATTGAATGACCAAAATGAATAAAAATGCTAATAAAAGCACTAAACGTCTACTTTACCCACTTTTTTTTTAACATATATCCTTTACGAATATGCTCAAATGCATATTTATCTAGGAATGTGACAACATCAACAAGCAGACAAGGGGCAGAAGTAAAACATGTTCCATTTTTTAGACCAAATATTTGATGTCATTACACCAACTGAAGCATCATATAAGTAATTGCAAGCCAACTTGGAGGGTAAAGGGTGTTAAAGAATAAGAACATAAGTAGAGAACTTCATAAATTAAGAGTTCGCTTTGCCTTCTGATCAAAGTCTGTAAGTTCACATATCTTGTCGGTGATCTGGACCATAAAACCATGATGTGAAGGGCAGTAGACACAGTTCAATCTCCTCCAAATTAGTGCTATAAATTACAATTATAGCTTAACGTGTGTAGTTTGTCTTTCTTAGCCAGCTCAGCCGGAGCATGTATAACATCGCCTCCTCACCCGATGAACAACTAATTTTAAGGAAGAGCGATACAGGATTGGATTATCACCGGCGTTTTTGTTAGCCATTAGCAGTTGATATTAGATCAATACCACTGACTTCTGGATCCACCTTGGGCAGCAGCAACTTTCCTAGCCATGTACTGGGGTTTTGGAAGCAATTCATTTGAACCTTCAACTACTACATCTTCTCCCCTATCGTTTTTACAGACTGGATTTCTCCGTGGATATGCATATTGAGTTGGAACTATAGGGTTCCGAGCCATCCATCGCTGTTCAAGAGCCTCACCTGCGGCTACTGCCCCGCAATTGTTGTAACGCATTACCGATCCAACTACTTTTCCCGGTCTGGAAGCACATGCTGTATTCATTATATAACAAGTTACTAGGAGAAGATGCAGTGTTTGGGAGACGGAACAGTAAAGAGATGAGCAGATCATATAAAGTCCATGGCAAGCTGCTTCCAGCAAATTGTAGGATATTTGCTTTCTATCTGCTATTTTAATCAATGTACTGGAACTTCCATAAACAAAAGAATGATTTATTTGTGTAATATGTAGGGGCTATTTCTACCAGAGATTTAGATGAAATAAAGAAAAGGTGGCCTCTAAAATCGGAAGCATGACAGTTGTTATAACCATTTCTAATCTCAGTGCGAGATTAGCATGGCAACAAATAGAGGAAATATATATATATATATATATATACACACACACACACTCAGAAAAAAATTCATACCTTGGATGCTTTGAGGAACTTGAAGGGGAAGCCTTGACATGGGGATTGCAAAGCTTCTCTCTGCCAGGGGTTTCTCGGTCTCCTTGATGGAACATTTAGACAAGTTATCTGTCACATCTGTCGAGTTTTGTACAGAATTATCTGAATATAACACACATGGCCTGCACACATTTTTAACAGTGTACTAATCAGTATAAAAATACACAATATGGATAATGGAGAAATTTATATTTCCTATGAAGATAACACAAGGTTGAGGATTCTAGTTTTGGATAGATTGGTATTAATAGGTGCTAGTTTCAGTTCTATGAAGTATGAAGGGCTTGTTTACGAAACCCGTGTTAACAAAATTATCTTGCCTTCCAAAAAATAATTGTTGAGCATATATAACTTTTAGCACTAGGGTTATCAAAGCATACGCTTATATACCTACTTGCACCTGCACCTTAGCAATATACGAAAAAAGCATCTAAAACTTTTCAGGCATAGTGCATTTGATCAGGCACACATGTGGTGCGCCTAGCCACAGTTTTTGGTAAGGCAATATAAGGGTTCTAGTGCCTAGAGTGCCCTTTGCCACCTGGATATTGATAGCCGCATGCAAATTAATTGATAACTTACCTTGGTAAAGATGCATGTTGTCTCTCGAGTGGAGCTGCAGTGGTACCATTTCCATAGTGCTCCTCAAGGAAAGCAAACTGCTTCTTGAAATGGTCGACCGCACTGCATTCAGAAGAAACACACATACAAGTGACAACATATTCAATTCGGAGATTCAGAATCGTAAAGCAACAATCTTCAGAACAAGATGCATTAAATCAATCACAGCAGTTGAACAAAATCTCCGATCTTAGTTAAAATCTAATTTCGACTTCCAAGCACAAACAAAATTGATAGGAATATTTGTAAATGTGGGAATTTCAAAGGGAGGACCCCATTGATTCCAAGTTAAGGATGCCATATTTGCAGCTTCTTCCAAACTAGTGGAATCAGCTATCATCAATGGAGGTTTCGCATTCATTTCCTGTATATAATAGCAATACTCTATATGAATGTAAATTTCCCAAACTATATAGACGAGCACCAAATGCCAAAGGCAGGAGTCTACTGATTCCAAAGTTTGGATGGCACAAACAAATAGCATCTTCCAACAAGTTGAACCAGGGCTCTTTCATTTCATGCATATAATGGCTAAAATTCTCTTTTAAAGACGAGCAATATCAAGCAACAGATATATATTTTAACACCGAAGAACACGGGAAAGAGAGTCATTATAGCAGAACAAATAAAATCAAGGCTGGCTGGAAATATAGAGGCTGATAGCTTAGCTAAGGCAGGTATTGGTTAGTTTTGTTTGAGTGTTTCGGGTTGTTCTTTGTAAGGGGGCTGGGTTGTTTTAAACATTATGTAATTTTTCAGTTATTAATGAATTTTGAGGCACTCTTTTCCTCCTTCCGCTGATTAAGGAACACCTATTGGTGTTCCTTTAATCATGAAGGGGGTTTTTAACGAGGCCTCCACTTCTTATAAAAAAAAGGCTGGCTGGAAAAAAATAGAGTATGGAACCCTAAAACGAATAATGGTTTCATAAGATGCCATATATAGTCAAAGTTGCAACAAAAATAGTTAGTTTAGAACAATACCTAGGATACATGAAGCCAGTTGGCTCTGATCCTTCCAAATACTCTTTCAACATTTTTAGGATGGTACTCAAGAATTTCACGGTATATGAGCTCCCTAACATCTTCCTTTGTAATCCTACGCCTCTCGAACTCAAATTCCATCTTGGTAACTGGTTGAGCAGAAGGCTCTCTTTCAACTTTGGCCAATCCCTTAAAATATGGATCAGCTAGGGCCTGCCAGCAAGGAATAAAATATCCATGTTAGAAGGAGACCATACATTAAATAAAAGTATATGAAACGCAACAAACGTGTATACCCCTTCAGCAGTAGGCCGATCCTTGGGTTCAAAGGCAAGCATCCTTTCTAACAAACGAACTGCAAGAGGATCTGCATTAGGGAATTTCTGGGTGAGTGGGGTGGGCTTTTTCTTTCGCATGCTGCTCAAGTATCTTCGGGCTTTCTCGTTACGTACCTGCTCAAATGATATCCATATCTAAGCAAAGAACAACTGATTCTGAATAGCTTTGGCTTAAAATAGAACAATGTAAACAAATGAAAATGGATGCCAACATACCCTAGCAATGGCTTCAGCAGATGGTGTTCCCAAAAGATCAGTCATCAGATCCAATTGGTGGACAACATTTTTTCCAGGAAACAAAGGTTTTCCTGTTAAAAGTTCAGCAAAGATGCACCCGATGCTCCAAATATCTATTGCTGGGGTATACTGAAAATAGAAGGGAAGAAAAAACTAAATGTGAATATAAGTGTAAAATCTTATGGCGCATTTAGAGATGGAAAAACACCATTTACTTGTATTAGAAGCTAGATACATGCTAGAGAAATAAAAAATGAGAAAAATCCCTATGCCAAAGCATCTGCAGATGTCAACTAAGGTTGTTGCACAAAGTATAGTATTAAAACAACGGCCTTGGCTAAAGTGAGTGGTCACACTACAAAATTATTTAGAAAATGAAAACGAAAACCTCACATCAATCAACAAAAATGAACGAGGGAGAAAAACCAAGCTACTTTCAATCAAATAAAATGTACAAACAATGTTGCACCTTTGAGAAAAAGGATCCACACAATTCTGGAGCTCTGTACCATCTTGTTGCAACATAGTCCTGTAAAGGAAGAAGGGGAATTTTTTTACTCAGAACCAAGAAACAAGCTTCTGTTTCTGCATATTATATATGTAAACTATCTCCTGAATGCAGCATCATGTAAAGAGCACCAACCGTCCAGAATATCGCAGTGGGGGTATCGTTGAAAGCTACTCTTGCCAGTCCAAAATCGCAGATCTTCAGTTTGCAATCAGCATTGGCTAAGATATTCTTAGGCTTTAGATCCCGGTGAAAAACATTCGCTACAAGAACAGAAAACAATTAAAACAAGGATATCAAAAGCAACCAACACGAGCTTGAAATTGCATGATAACTATGCATTTCCGAAATGCTATTTACATTCAAACAAGAAGAATCAAAGCAACAGTAAGATGATAACCTGTGTGAATGTATTTCAGGCCTCGAAGAAGCTGATACAAAAAAAACTGGTAGTGTTCAGGAGTCAAATCATCATTTGCTTTGATGACCTGGTGTAAATCAGATTCCATAAGTTCAAATACCACATATATATCCTTAAACTCCCTTCTTGAAGGAGGCAACAAGATGTGCTTGATCTCAACGATGTCTGGATGACGTAGGAGCCTGAGAAGTTTAATCTCTCTGAGGATCCGGGTAGCATCAGATACATGTTCGAATATATCATTGATTTTCTTAA